CAGGACATCCTTCTTGCTAATTGATCCTAACCAGAGTAAGATTGCATGGTTACTGTAAATTTGATATGTTAAGCAAAAGGCAAGTCTTGCTTTCCAGCACTGCTATTAATGCTGTTGCCAAGTCAGGTTCCTGCGAACCTACTTGAATGAATAAGCCAAGTAGAGTTTATCACTGGTGGCTCCATACCTCTGGGGACTGCTCAAGTAGCTTGTTCTGTTGAATAGGTTAAACATTACCCTCCTAATTATGCTAGCACAATTCGTTTGCTGCCTTAGCAGAATGTCTCTACTGGGTGAAAGGAAAGAGCGCTGGCTTTGGAGTGAAGCCCAGCTCTGCCAGTGTCTGCCAGTGCTGTGTGGCCTTGAGCGAGTCACTTGGTGTCTCTGAGCCTTGGTTTCTTCATTCTGTGATGAGGGAAGAAGACCCCAGGATCCACAGGCTTGTTTGGAGGATATGACTGGCACATGTTTACACACCCCAAGGTGTGTTGCTTGAGATGGGCACCGCTTGCTTCCTGCTCCAAGTTCAGGCCTTCCAGCCCTCAGCAATGAGATGTCGGGGTATCTGTAAATCGGGGGATGAGAAGCTGCCCTCGCCCCCTACCAAGTAACTCTGACTCTCTCTCCGTACAGAGAAAGAGAAAGACCCCAAGTACTGGCGAGACCAAGCTCAGCAGACCCTGAAAAATGCCCTGGGGCTTCAGAAGCTCAACACCAACGTGGCTAAGAATGTCATCATGTTCCTGGGAGACGGTGAGGCCTGGGGGCCCGAGGGAGGGGCTGGACGGGGCCACCTAAGTAGGAGCCCAGGGAGCCAGGCTGCGGTGACAGGGGCCATGCTGAAGAGGCTGGGCCCTGCGTGGGTGGTATTTAAGATGGGGGCCAGGCTGTGGACCCAAGAGGTCTTCTCTGCCAAGCGGTCCCCTGAGGTTCTGGGGAGGGAAGTCGAAGAGGGGCTGCCTGGTCACACTTACAGAGCCATGTCTGGTGCCCACTGCCCAAGCCTGCTTTGACATCAAACTAAGAGAGCTCTAGGTACCCAAGAAAGCTGATGGGAGAGGCAGGGAGCCCAAGAGACTGAGGCCCCCCACTCCCTGCCACAGGGATGGGCGTATCCACGGTGACAGCCGCCCGCATCCTCAAGGGTCAGCTCCACCACAACCCTGGGGAGGAGACCACGCTGGAGATGGACAAGTTCCCCTTTGTGGCCCTCTCTAAGGTGAGCCCCAGTCCCAGGCCCACCTGACCCAAGCATCCCATCTCTCAACTTGGTAACGTGGAGGGAAGAGCCAGGGCGTGGCGTCTGCTAGACCTGCCTCTAAGCCTGCTGCAGGCCCCGGCGAGGCGGCCTGCCCTCCTGGGGCCCTGGGGCCCCCCTGTGAAACAAGGAGGGCAGCAGCCACGTCCAAAGATTTATTTTGAGGCTTTTAACTCACTGATGTGAAAAATCTTTTTATTGAAGTGCAACATACATAGAAAAAGTGCACACGTGTACAGCTTGTGTTTTCACAAACTGCACGTGTCTGTATAACCAGCATCCAGGTCAAGCAATTGACAGCATCCAGAGGTCCCCTCAAGCCCCCCTGCAGTCCCTCTTCCCACCAAGAGTAGCCACCATCCTGACTTCTAACACCGTGGATTATCTGTGCCTGCTTTTGTATTTTTCATAAATGGAATCATGCAGTGTATACTTCTTTGCACATGGTTCTAGTTCTCTCGTTCTCTCCCAAGGTGGTTCACACAGTGAAATTAGATTATCAATGGATGTTGTTGCATGCAGTGTGTAGTAGCAGTAGCCATTGTTACTGGTGGTGGTGGGGATATGTAATAAACATCCTCCAGACACTGTGGATCAGGTCCCAGGCTCCCTTCTGGGGAACAGAAGGGACACTGATGTTTCCTGTGCCTTCAGGAGCTCTCAGGCTGCTGGGGAAGGGAGACAGGCGAGTAGTTTCAGGATCTTTACTAGAGGTCTGAACAGGGGGCAGCCAGCAGGGAGGTGGGCAGAGGAGTCAGCACTGGCCTCTCGTCCCACCCTCCCATGCGCCCTCCTATCCTCTTCCTCCCCTCCCCCCAGCACCCCTACTCCTTCAAGAACCCCCACCTCCAGGACTCACCTGATCCCCCACTTGCTGGCTCTGCAGCCAAGACCCAGAGAGAGGCCTCCGCTGACCCAGCCTGACCCCTGGCTCTTCTGCCAAACACTTCTCCAGATGCTGGAGAGTTTGGTTCCCACCCCTTCCTGCTGCCCTTTGCTGCCAGGGTGCAGGGAATGGGGGTAGGAGCAGACAGCTAGGTGATCCTGTGGCTAGGGGGGACCACTCTTTGCCCCTCAAGCCTCAGTCCCCATGGTGTGAGTGCAGGTGGGGTGGGCAACAGTGGGGACCAAGGCCTGGCCATCTCCTGACCCTTCTCTCCCACGTGCAGACATACAACACCAATGCTCAGGTCCCCGACAGTGCAGGCACTGCCACCGCCTACTTGTGTGGGGTGAAGGCCAATGAGGGCACCGTGGGGGTGAGCGCGGCGACTGAGCGCTCCCTCTGCAACACAACTCAGGGGAACGAGGTCACCTCCATCCTGCGCTGGGCCAAGGATGCCGGTGAGTGCAGCAGTGGCGGGGAACGGGGCCAGCTCCGTGGTCTGTCTGGGCCTCAGTCTTCCCAACTGTACAATGGGGAGAGGGCAGAAAAAGATGCTCTTGAGGGCTCCCAGCTCTGATGCTCTGGGTATCTGTGAAGTATTCGTGGAATCCCTTCCAGACAGGGAAGTCTAGTGATCCAGGGGGTGACATGGATCCCAGCTCATTTCCTTGAGTATAAAATGGGCACTAAAATGTAGCCCCCTCGTAGGTTTGGTGAGAGAGGAGGGTAGAGGACCCAGCCCAGGACCAGCCTGGTGAGGATCAGTAAATGTCTACTCCTTCCTCCTTGGAATTGGGAGGCCCTGGCCCTTGCCCCCAGGAACTTTGGAGGGAGGGGACAAGGCCAGCTGACTCAGGTGAGGGAACCACGCTCCACCTGAGATCCCTTAGGAGGCCCCTGGGGGACTTCCTGCAGGAGTGGGGCTCGGTGGGGTCCTTGATGGAGGGGAGGACTCTGGCCCGGTGCTCACAGCTCAAGGGCCCCAGGGTGTGGGGAGAGGGTCACAGAGGCAGAATGTCCCAGCTGTCAGGCTATTTGGAAGCCATGGTCCCCCTTTGTACAGAAGGGGAGACTGAGGCCCTGGCAATTGGTGGAACTGATGGGAGGCCAGTCTTTAGCTGGGGGAGGGAGAGAGAAGGCAATTGGAATACCCGTATGTGCAGATGAAGCCAACCCCTCCCCTCCCATACCCCAGGGAAATCTGTGGGCATTGTGACAACCACACGAGTGAACCACGCCACCCCCAGCGCCGCCTACGCCCACTCAGCTGACCGGGACTGGTACTCAGACAATGAGATGCCCCCTGAGGCTCTGAGCCAGGGCTGCAAGGACATCGCCTACCAGCTCATGCACAACATCAGGGACATTGATGTGAGTGTGGAACACGGCTGGGACAGGGACGGGGCTTGTGAGGCGGGGCCTCTGGTGGGCAGGAGGCCTCAGGCCCAGGCTGGCCCGGGAAAAGCAGCCTGGCCTGGCTCCCCACACACCTGGGAGGGCTCTCAGCCCATTAGGGGATTTGCGGTTGGGGCAGGCAGGCACTGGAGGATTTCTCTGCGGTGGGGCTGAGGGGTGAACGCTCATGTGGCCGCCACCACACCCCAAAAACCGGGCGCCCAGGGATTATTCCATAAATTGGGACCTGGCACTATGCCACCCTCCCCCTCAACACAGGAGACAGGGGTGGCACAGTGGCCATTGAGAGGAGGACCTGCCCTGCATATTCACACATGCACAGACAGGCACGTGTTTGTACACTCAAACAACATGCCCAGAGAAGAGCTGGTAGTCCAGTGGTTAGCACAAGCCTTCATGTTGAAACTTCCTGGGTTCCAGTCCTTGCCCTGCCTTTTGCTATGTGTGTGACCTTGGGTCAGTTACTTAACCTCTCTGAGCCTACTCTTTCACAAGCCCTTGGTGAACTATACCTGCCTTGTAAGCCCATTGCAAGAACTAAGTAGGACAACCCCTGTAGAGCTCAGCACCGGGCCTGGTGCCTAGTGAGTGATCAGAAAGCAGTGGCATTTATATGTTGGTCATATATCCTTGCCCGAAACACGCTTCAGCATTCTGAGCAGGCTTGTGTATGCTGATGTAGTCCACCTTATGCTCAAATGGAGAACTTCTGAGGAACCGGCCTGTGGCTCACTTGGGAGCGTGGTGCTGACAACACCAAGTCAAGGGTTAAGATCCCCTTACTGGTCATCTTTAAAAAAAATAAAAGAAGAATTTCTGGCTTATTCCTTTTTCAGGCTTTTATTACCTACTGCATGGGGCTGGTGGGGGGACAGGGGGGCTCTGGCCCCCGAGCATGGAATGGGGACTCAGCAAGGCTTGGAGAAAGCCCCCAGCCCCCACCCACCCTTCCCCACCACCAGACTCACCTACGCTCTGCCCTCCATGCAATACTTCCCCACCCCACCCCCAATTTGGGGTGCCACCCGGCTCCTCTACCAACCCATGTCTTCCCTTTTCCCAGCAGTGGATTAAGCACCCCCTTGCAGGACAGTCCTGTTGATCCCTCTTAGAGAGCAGACATCTGAGGCCAAGCCACCCACATTGGCTTTGCCTTCAGCCGACACACAGCCTGGGGCAAGTCCTTTTCCCTCTCTGAGCCTCAGTTTCTCCACCTGTGCAGCAAGAACAGAGAGCCCCACCTGCCTCCTCCAGGGCCGTGGGAGGCCATGATGAGGTCATGGATGTGAGAACATTTGTTGTACAAGCACAGGGTGTAATTATAGGGCTGCTCTTTAGAGAGGTTTGGCAGGAACAGCCTGAGGTGGGGGACAGAAGCTTAAGGGGAAACCAAGTAGGGAAGATGTTTCAGGTGGGGGGGGGGGATGGAGGGTGATGGGG